CATCGCGTTCCACATTCCTAAATTCCTAAGCGGAACCTCATCAAACACACGATAAGCGCCTTCCACAAGACCACACTTGGAGTACAAAGATATCAAGGCACTCCCAACAAAACTCGACGAATCATAGCTCGTTTTCAAGCACAAACCATGTATTTGCTTCCCTAATTCGAGCAACGTGGAATTCCCACACACCCGAATCACACTTGAAAAGGTGAAGTCATTAACATCCACAGTTTCACCTAAAGCAAGCTTGAAAAGCCTCAAAGCTTCCTCATCCTCACCCATTTGAGCATACCCGTATATCATTCCACTCCAAGAAACCACATTTTTTTCAGGCATTTGATCGAACATCTCCCGAGCAATCTCAATCTTCCCGCATTTGGCGTACATATCCACCACAGAACTCCCTACAAACACATCAGACTCAAATCCAATCTTCAAAGCAAAGCAATGAATCGATTGCCCAATACGATAATCAGAAAGAATCCCGCATGCTTTCGTCGCGCAAGGGAAAATATGATCATCAGGCCTAACCCCATTATACAACATTTCACGAAAATACTGTAAAGCAAGAATTGGTTGTTCATTCTGGGCAAGAGAAGAGATAACTGAACTCCAGGTAGTGGAAGACTTGAAGTGGGTTTCATGGAAAACTTGTGCGGAATCAAGTGGGCGTTGGAGCTTTGAGTAGAAGTTGATTAAGTGGTGGGAAACAAGTGGGATTATTTGAATGCCTGATTTGATTATATGTGCGTGTAATGCGAGCCCTTTCGGTAAGGATCTTGATTGGGTTAGGGACAAGAGATTGTTGCATATGGTTCGGAAGTTGAGTTCGAAATTTTGTGGGTTTTGTGAGGGTTTTGGGAAATGGGAATGGGAGAGTGAAAGGTGGTGGGCTGTTTCTTGAACGGGTTCTTGCACAAGTGGGTAGCTCATGAGAATGCAACAAGTAAATGGCTAAAGAGATATGCTGCGACTGTGAAAATGAGGATTTTGACTTCATATATGATGCTTCAAAGTGTAAAAAGAAAGGACTTGACCAATGGTTTCATGCAGGTCTTATAGCTTGTAGTTTCTTTTTGCGGCAAAAGTGCTTTTTTTTCTGCTCAAAAGTGCTTCATCCACCGTAAAGGGATGGGTGGATAAAGTGGACATTAGCGTCCGGATTACTGTGTGACAAGAAAGTGTCATCGTTAGTAAAAGGTAAGTTTTATAGAGTAGTAGTTAGGTCTGTCATGTTATATGGGACTGAGTGTTGGCCGGTTAAGAACTCACACATCCAGAAGATAAAAGTAGCAGAGATAAGGATGTTGAGGTGAATGTGCGGGCATACAAGGATGGATAAGATTGGGAACGAAGATATTCGAAAGAAGTTGAGTGTGGCCCCCACGAAGGACAAGATGCGTAAAACAAGACTTAGATGGTTCAGGCACATTCAGAGGAGGAGCACTGATGCACCGGTGAAGAGGTGTGAGAGACTGACTGTGGTGGGCACGAGGAGAGGTAGAGGGCGACCTAAGAAGAATTGGGGAGAGGTGATCAGGTAGGACATGACGCGACTTAGAATTACTGAGGACATGACCCTTAACAGGAAACTGTGGAGGTCGGGCATTAAGGTTGTAGGTTTGGGGAGAAGTTGTGAATATTTATACAGCGCACTAGAGTGAGACTAGCCAGTTAGAAGTTAGTTTTAGGATACTAGTGGTCATCTACTGACGCAGAGTTTTATCTGCTGGTTATTATTATACCTTCCATCTATTTCGTATTTCTTATATTGCTGTTATTTTATTATGATTCTATTGATGGTACTAATATATCGTCTCTTGTTGCTTTCTTGAGCGAGTCTCCTGGAAATAGCCTCTCTGCTTCTCGGGTAGGGGTAAGATCTGCGTATATATTACTCTCCCCAGACCCTACTTATGGAATTATATTGGACCGTTGTTGTTGTGGTGAGCCGACACATACTGAAAGTTTTAAGTATTCTTTGTTTGGTCCTTTCCATTTTATTCTTCAGTACATTTGACAAATCTAAGAAGTTCTATAAAGAGAAGTCCTTAGCTTAGCTCAAGATTGATTCTAGGAGAGCAGAGGAAATAATCTTATAACAGAAAAATAAAATAAACAATTTCTGAGTTATGTCAAAATAATGTAATCCAATGGAACATATCTAAATTAGAGAATGTACTGTTGCATTTTGTCCCATAAAGACATCTAAAAAGAAAAAGATTGTGAAGTAGCACAATGTTTCTGAAAGTACAACCAACATACGAATTAAATGCTAGAAAATTTAGAAAATACTTATCGACCGTTGACTTTGGATGTTTCACTAGAGCCGTCAATATAGGCTTGGCCCGTTGGGCCAGCCTAGCCCAGCTCGTGATTTAGCAGGGCTATGCTAGAATTTTTGGAGCCCGTTTAAAAATGAGGTTTTTAAACTCGGCTCGAGTAAGCCCGTGTCCCGTGAGACTTGACAGAGGCTAGGCTGCGCCGGCCCGTGGGCCTAATAAAATATTTATTTAAAATATATAAAAAATAAAAAGTATACTGCCTTTAGAGATGGAAAGTCAGAATCGGATCTTTACTAAGAGGAACCAAAACTTGATCTTGAGAAGTTTCAAGAGATAATGTTGTCATATATTGGAAGGACCTTTCTAGAAAATATCCTGATCTTTCAGTGATGGTGCGTGATGTACTTAGCATTCTTATTGTCATTGTACCATCGGAATCGACATTTAGCATTGGTGGCGTGTTCTTACAAAGTACAAAAGTTGCATTTATTATGAAAATGTCCAAACATTTGTTACTACTTGAAATTGGCTGCACAGGTTTTCTAACTCAAACTGGTAATATTTTTTTATGTGAATTTAAATATTATTAATTTTTAAATTTAATTATTTTTAATATTTAACTAATTAATATTGCATATGAATTGTACATGAAAGCGAAGATGTTAAGACAACCTTATCACAAGCGGATTCAAATGTGTTTGATGAAGATGATGTGTTGGATATCTCATAAGCATCATGAACGTTCTCTTGAATAGTTTGTTTTAAGTTTTGACTTTTAGTGAATAAAATATAATCCTGTCTTTTACTTTTTGAGTATTTATCGTGATATATTGGAACAATATAAAAAGTTATAAAGTTTTGCGAATATTTCCAATAAGATATTTTTTAACTTTTAAATAATTATCTTTTTTTAGGTCAGAACTTAAAGAAAAAATATAAAATTATATTTTTTAAAATGATGGGCCGGCCTGTGGGGGCCCGCGGCCCACATAGGGCTGGGGTGGGCTGACCATTATAAAGCCCATCAAAATGATGGGCTAGCCTAGCCCAATCCGTCAATTGCTAAAGCCCATGTGGGCTGGGCTAGGATAGCCCGACCCGACCCATATTGACAACTCTATGTTTCATATTGAAAAGGAAAAAAAGAAAGTTAAGTTTGCCCCCTAAACTTTGCGAATTTAGTTATTCATAGCTAGTATCCGAAAATATTATATATGTTATTTATTTTTAACGGAGCATAAATTGCCATATTTTATCTGCATTGAGCATTTTAAGTCATAAGTGAGACACGTGAAAAAGAAAGATAAAAAAATAGTTTGAATTTGCCCTTAAACTTTACAAAATTAGTCATTCATACACTGGGAATAGACCATTGGTCCATTATTTCTTCTTTGGATACTATAACTATTTGTTTCAATTATGTATCCCTTTTGTTTAGTTAAATAAAAAAGTTTTAATCAAATAATGGAGCTTCTTCGGTGTATTTCTTTATTTTTTTAGATGCAATAATTGATTTTTTTCAATTGTATATTTCTTTTTGTTTTTCCGTGACAAATTTATAAATAAATTTTTTTGGCTGGAAGCAGGGTGAATGTTGGGGCAGTTCATATTGAACATGAAAAATTCGATTTGGATTTTCATTCTCGGGTTAAAGAAATGACAATTCGAAGAAACTCGGATTGGATCAAATTTTTAAAGTTTGAATTCGGATCAATCGATTTGGATATTTTGAATTTTCGATTTTGAGCTTATAAGTTGAGATGTTTCTTCTTCTTATGACAACAAACATAATGAAGTATTCATTTTAAATTGCCTAAAAAGTTCCATATTTGCATCACACTCATTCAAATAAAGTACTATTCAAGTAATGAAATCTTCACCAAGGAAATATAAAGACATTAGTGAGGCCGATAAGAAGCAACAATAGTAAAATCATGTCGAAATAGAAAGTATTCTAATAGTAACTTAGTAATTAGTATTGAATATATGAAATTATGTCTAATGGATAGGGTATTGGACTTGTTACTATTGGCATATGAATAATGAATTAATATAAAATATAAAAAAAAAATTGAATATCTTAAAATATCTAAAAATCTAAAGTACCAAATCCAACATTAATCCAAAATTCAAAAAAATTAAAAATTAAATTAAAAATTCAATCCTTAATCCAAACCCAAAAAAAAAGTTTGCCCAAACTATGCCCACCCTAGCTGGAACTCATTATTTTCGGGCATAGTCTAGGGGTAATTAAGACAACTTTGAAAGATTCCCGGGGTATTCTGCCAAGAGAAATAAAAATCGGGATCCAAAAGACGAAATACCAAATACTTAATGGACTAGAAAAGTCATTTTCCGCTAACGTACTATGATACGACACCGCATTCATCATTTTTTCTACTACGAGAAGGCAGAAACCCGAGTTCCTTTCTATTCTTTCCGTTTCACCAATTCCGCGCCCTGAATTCTCCGGTAAAGGGTTCAATCCCTGTCTTCCACATGGTAGCAATGGAACAAAAACAGTTACTATTGCGCACAGCTACAGAACCACTGATATCAGAGTCAAATTCAATGACTAGCGCAACATTGGGTCGTGTTATGAACACATTGCTTACTACCAAGCCTAAGAAGCTTCTAGAAACCATTTCTCATCTTGATCCTTCTCCCAAAATTGCACCTATTGCTGGTAATTTCTTACTTGTGTATATTCTGAAATTGAGGTTCTAGACAAAAAACACTTTTTTTCTCTTTTTGTTTCTTAGTTGTTTTTTTTTTCTTCAGTTTCTTTGGAACAGTCATTATGGTTTCTTTACAAGTATGTGAAGGATGCTGCTGAAAAAGAGTCATCTTTGGACCAAGTTCTTGTTCCTATGATTCAACATGTAAGAACCAATATTACAGCTCTTTTTGTTTGTTAATTCCTCCGCCTGAATTTATGTGGCATTGGTTGACTGGCTGCGGAGTTAAAAAAAGTAAGAAAGACTTTTGAAATGTGGTCTAAAATAAGCCGTAGACATTTATGTGGCTGTAAATCATCTCATTGATGTTAAAATTGGACGTTTAAAATTAAATTATTTCTAAATTTAGAGAAGTGTCATTCTTTCTTGAACAAGCTAAAAGGGAAAGTTTGCCACATAAAGAACAGAGGGAGTAGAAGTATTCAGATATCAGTACTGATTAGTTTACTAAATGGTTTTATTGGGGTTAACTTCAATTTAATCCATGGCGATACATATTAGTTGAAAATATGTTTTAGACGTTAGCACATCTTATATCTCTAAGAGTGGTTGAGCATTTTAGATATTTATACTAAATATTCCGAACTTCTAAATTTTTTATTTGTATTTGCATAATGTTGGAACGAGATGAGTTTAAACGGAGTAACGTGGTCAATGAGGATTCACATAGCCGATCTCAACCTTTTCGGGAATGAGGTGTAGTTGCTGTTGTTGTTGTTGTTGTAACTTCAATTTAGTCCATAAAATGAAGGAATTGCTGGGAATTATTCCTATGACCTTATATGTATAAGAAAAGGAAGAACCTTGAAGCTTGTTTCTCTATGTTTTTTTTTTCTTTTTCTGTTTCAAGTTTTCAGTTAGCTTTTTCAAGAGGTGAGTATATAAATTCAGACTATGATTTTCTTTATGCATATTCTATAACATTTTGGAAAAAAAAAATCTCTGAGTATTATTTTCAAATAGTGATTTTATTTGCATTTAACATTGCTCCCACATTTTCAACCTGGACTCTTGTAAAACTAATATGAGAAATATTGTGGGATAGAGGAGTAAATTGTACTCCCTCCTTCCCATTCTATATGACTGTATCTGAATGGACAGAGAGTTTAAGATGTTACTTTTACTTATAATATTTTTGTCATTAATAGTTGAAGAAAAGGTTAAAGTGATAATTGAAAGTTAGTTTGATAAGGGAAATATCATATCGAAGCTTGAAAATTTGAAATTTGAATAGCTTCTCTTTAAAATTCTTGAAAATGGTGAAAGTTGTGTTGGTATGGACTGGTGTCGGACATTTTTAGAATGTTTTGAAAAAGGAAAAGTGTTAAATTTAATATAAATAGGGAAAAGTGGGAGTATTCAATTAGGACATAATTTCAAATTTGTCCATACTCCGCAACAACGAAGTTTTTGCTGTGAATCATCAGTAAGAAGCTCTTTTTTTGCAGAATGTCACCATTTTTTCTCGTCATAACTGGTTAAGATGGGTCAGCTGCTTTTAGTAGCACATGGGCATCTGCTTAGCCTCAAGTCACTAACATAGTCCATGAAATGCTTTAGTTATCCTCATTGCATTCATGCGCCTGAAACTCTCTCTAACATTTTTAGTCTCTTGCATGGTTTTATTTTTTCTATTGAGAGCAATGTTTTTTGCTATTGGAACCATGGAACTTTTCATATTATACATGAAAAAGGCCTTTGAGATGGTGGTGGATGAAAAAATTGTGTAGCTTAAGTTCATGACTGATGGCCTATTCTCTTTTCCTCACTTATGTTCTTGCAATCATTATTAACTATTAGCATATGCTCACCTTTTCTGTTTTTGGGCTAAAACTGTCTGTTGCATATATATACCTGTTTCCCCATGCTGTCTTCTTTATCATCATTGATAAAAAAATTGTCAGTCACTGAGGTTCCGGGGGTCAAAGCATGGCAACCAAGTGATGATACTTCTCAATTGGCTTTTTGAGGACGAAGTAAATTTCCAGGCTTTAGCAAATGATCTGGAGGCCATTTTATCTCGAAAAGAGGATCATTACATATCCCTTGGGTGGTGTACCCTTGCACGAAGTCTTATTGAATTTGAGGTCACTATGGACAAGCTCGAAACACGTGGTAATTTGACCTTTTCAAGTTCTGCTTCTATTTGAACCTAGATGACTCTTTCATTGTAAATTGGACTATACATATGCAATCCTGCTACTTTTGATGCTCTGTTTATTTCTCTTGACCCTTCCGTAAGAGGAAGTCAAAATTCCAACATCCAAAGCTGTAATCTAGTGGTCAATGAAGTGTGTGTAAACCTTGGAGATCAGTGTGAAAATCCAGCAAATCAAAAATACTACTCCCTCCGTTTCAATTTAGATGAGGTAGTTTGACTCGGCGCGGAGTTTAAGAGAAAAAGAAGAATTTTGAAACTTGTGGTCTTAAAAGCTTAAAGGGGTAAAGGTTTTGTGGGGACATGGCATTTGTGTGGTTATAAAAACTTCGCATTCAGGGTAAAATGGGTAAAATGAAGAGTTTAAAGTTGAATTATTTCCAATTGTAGGAATGTGTCATTCTTTTTAGAACAGACTAATAGGGAAAATGTGTCACTCAAATTGAAACAGAGGGAGTGAGGGACTAGTTGATTTTTTCCCATCTGCCTAAGCCTTGGTAGTCAGAGTTATGGGGCAACTTTTGCTAGTGGGAGGTAGCAGATACCCAATGGAATAGTCGAAATGCACATATGCTGGTCTGGGCACCGCTGTTACTTAAAAAAAGAGAAAGTAATGCCAATTCCAAATTGATTTAAAAGTTCACTGTAGATTATACTGGTAATAGTTATACTGTATGCTTTTATTAATCAATTTGCAACACTAGTTTAAGTTTGTTATGCATAGAACTGTTTGTTTCTTTTGAGTATTGGTCTGGAGGAACCTGTTTGCGCTCAGTGCACTTCAAGTGTTTGAGCTGACCGCGTAGTGCCTTTTGATGACATTATTTCATAGTGAGTTAAACAACCCTGTAATTTTGAAGGATAAAATTATGTTATGTCGTAGAGTAAATCTCACTTTTTGACTTTAATGATTGTTGTTGCCACGAATGTTGAAGCGTCGGTGTTTTCCGTTAGACGTCCCCTTTCTTTGGGGACTTTTTCTTAAATGGGGAAAACGCATGATATATCTAATAAGTCATTGTACGTTATCCCAAGATAGATTTCTTCTTTATCTCTTTATATAATCTAGTGAGTCATATGTGGTTTATTGAAGGGATATGAAGAGTTTAGTGGCATGCGAGGAGGATGAACTTTTGGGAGCACAAGTGTGTGAGGAAAATACTTTGAGACTTGTATTTTCAAACTTTTACAAGATTTTAGTTCATGCCTAAAAAAATGACAGTCCATCGAGTTCGGAAGATAGTAGAATGTAGATAGCGAATTGAGAAGTTCGTTTGGGGTTTGAGATTAGGAAGAATTTTCACGATTAGAAAGTGGTAAAATTCCCAAACGTAGTTGAGTTGCTTCACAAACAAGGAACACCTCAGGACAACCACGATGTATGCAAGATGTGATTAGGGAATAATGGAATATTTTATGTTAAGTCTTATTATAAGAAGCTTCTAGTTAGGAAGGAGGTTGCATTTCCACATTGATCGATCTGGATTCCTATGGTTCCAAGAAAGTTGCGTTTCTTCAGTTGGCTAGCAACAAAGAGGGTGATTTTGACAGCTGAAAATCTAAGGGAGAGGAAGGTCACATACATCAGTTGGTGCTTTATGTGCAAGAGCTTGGGTGAAGACGTTAACCATCTCTTCTTCATTGTCGGGTGGTTTCGAGTTTATGGTAGGTAATCTTGGGTTGGTTTGGAATAATTTAGGTGATGCCAGACATCCTAAATGAGCTAATATTAAGTTGGAATTGCAATTGGTGGAAGAGAAAATGTAGGGCTTGGAATCTCCACTAGCACTTGTCTGAGTCATTTGGAGAGAGAAATAGGGAAGCTTTTGAAACTGTAGAGTTGAATTTCGTTCAATCGAGGAATAATCTATTATCCCTTATTTTCTTCTAGTGCACCCATGAGGTGTACAGAAGATTGCGTGTCTTTTGTAGAAATGATATTTGTAAGTTTTATATTATTTTTGGTATGCCTTTTATATACGTATGTTCATGCTCAAACATTTTAATAAATTTAAAAAAGCAACCTGATGCACAAAGCATCCCGCATTGACGCAGGGTTCAGGGAAGGGACGCAATGCAAGGAGTATGATGTAGATAACCTACCCTAATGCAAGCATTAATGGCTTCTTCCATGACTCGAACTCTTGACCTATAGGTTACACGGAGACAATGAGTACAAAGAAAGGTCCCTTGATGGGTGTAGGAGAGGAAAGGAATTAGTGTTAAATATCTAAATGCCATAAAGGACATCTATGAAGGAGTTGACACTTGTGTAAGAACAGTAGGAGACACAAAGGAGGTCGGACTGCATTGAGCCAGTATTTGTTTACCCTAGTTATGAATGAGCTAACCGACTTAAATATAAGATGAGCTTTCATGTGTATGCTAGTTGTTGATGATATCGTGCTAATTAACGAAACCAAAGAGAGTGTCAACTAAGAGTTTGAACTATGGAGAAAAAAAGAGAGTAAGGGTGCGCACAAGGTGGCCTAGACACCACGCTTATCCAAAGAAAAAAGTAAGGGTTTTGGGACAAGCAAAAGTAAGATCGAATATATGTGTTGCACGTTTAGTCAACATAAGAAGCGAAGTTAAGGTGAGATTAGATATAGATTGTGGTGCCTAAGTGCAAACAAAAGTCAGATATCTAGGCTCGTTGTTCCAAGAGAATGAAAGGATAGACAAAGATGTTACACATCGAGTCAAAATTGGATGGCTGAACTGGAGAAGTACTATTGGATTTTTATGTGATAGAAAGATGTTTATGAAAGTGAAAGGTAAGTTTTATAGAACAATTATCGGATCGACAATGTTATATGTGAGTGAATGTTTGGTTGCTAGAGTTCAACACATCCGCAAGATGAGTGTCATAGAGATGTAAATGCTAAGATGGATGTGCGGTTATGCAAGATTAAATAATATTAAAAATGACCACATTTGTAAGGATAAATTAAGAGAAAGCCGCTTGAGATGATTTGATCATGTCCTGTGTCGATTACCAAGATGCACTGATCCATAGATGTGAAACTGTGGGGAATGAAAGTGTTAAATGGAGTCGAAGTAGACCTAAAATTGCAGGGAAGGAAATTGCCTTGGAAAACCTACAATCTGGTAGAATCTATGTTGACTTAGCAAATGATATGGCACAATGGAAGAAAAAGATTCATATAAGTGATATCAATTAGTTGGGAATATGTTTTAGACCAGGTAGGTGTTAGAACATGTTCTAGTCAAGGTGTTAGAACATGTTCTAGTCATGTTAGTACGTTTACTTTACGTCCTATGTTTTCGAGAAGTCTCTTAGCCATATAGAGAACTTCTAGTACTTACATTTTTACTTTTGTTTTGTATAATGTTGGACTAAGAGGAATTAAAATGGAAAAGTATGGTCAGTGAGGGTTCATATAGCCAACCTCAACCTTAACTTGTTTGGTACCGAGGCGTAGTAGTAGTAGCTGTTGGCCTGTGAACCTGTTGCCCACTGTTTACAGTGGACAAAGTCTTATGTTTGTTTCATGATAACACTTAGTTTTGGGTTACTGAGTTTTCTGTTATTAATACAGGGGTTAGAGCGAGATACGATGCACTTCTGAAGATTTTCTGCACATGTACGTCCCATCTTGTGGCTATTGTACGTGATGGAAGGTGTGTGTTCTTTTTCTTTCTTTCTTTCGTATTGTCTGTCTCTGTCATTTCCCCATTTCCTTTTTATTAGATGATGATCTGTTACTGGCTGCTCAGCATTGCTGATTTTTACCGAAAACTAAATGGGGAAAATTTTACTGCTACTATTGAAAAATGAGTGAGAAGAATCTTATTGCTACCAAACAAAAGAGTGTAGTGCTCCAGACACCTTTAAACTTGTGTTAGTTCTAAGCTTCAGGGTCGATGAATAATATAAAATTCATGTCTTCATATCATGTGATCAAAGTTTATATATATATATATATATACATATATATATATATATATACGGGGATTTTCTGGATGACAGTCTTCTTGTTTTACTATGAGTTGTTTGACAGTGTCATAATATGAGAATACGTAATACGTATCTATCCATGAAAACCCAAAAAAGGGAAAAAAATAAAAGAAGAAAAAAATGCATGACTAGTCTGTAAGTGGAAATGGAATTGTCTTTGCTCAACTTCATTCAAACTTTTGCTGTTAGCTGTATTCTCTCATCCACTCTAGGGAGCTGAGACTGATCTAACAGAAAATGCTTACTGGTCCATTTAAAATTTCTAACAAAAACACATGCCTAAGTTTGCTTATTTCAAATTTGTAGCACCGTGCAGGGGGAATTTGAGCTGCCAACTCGCCTTTCAGTGGCTGCTGCGGATCTAATTCTCTCTCTTACGGAGGCATTAACAAGAAGTGATTCAGTGTCCAACTGCTCAGATGACAAGCAAAAGGCAGCTGGTATTGGTGAAAGAAATCGCCCAGTCATGTTGTTATCTTCTACTTCGACTAAGAAGAAAGTGAATAAAATCAGCAAATCCTCTGAATCTACACACATGGAAATGAAGTTACTGCTTTGGGACCAGTTGGATCACCTCATAGTTCTTGTAGAGAGACTTACAGCTGTATGTTCCATAACTTGTTTTATCTATTCAGACCTCTTCATTGAATGTCATATTTGAATATCCTTGACTATCATTCACTAGTACAACTGCTCTAAGTAAGTAATTCATGCAGTTAAGATATGCATCCTGAGAGAGAAAACTAGGTTTTCTGTAAATCTCTCTGACGAAACAACTTCTAGTATACCTATTTTCTTCTGTAAGCCTTACACTTGTTTTCTGACTAGTGATTAGTTTTAATCTCAAATTAGTAAGTCTTTCTTTCCATGTTTTCCCAAGAACTTGAAAAAATGAGCTTTTGATTTCTATTTCTACGTCCAACCAGTTCTCGGTAACCTATGAGTTAAAGTATTTGACAATATTTTTTGAAATTTTTTGAGTGTAACTAATTGATGCCAGTTTCTTTATGTGCTCGGTAGTGCTAAGTTGTGCATTTAAAAAGTTTATCCAATTGATGCCAATATTTGTTGGTACTCAGTAATGCTAAATTGTGCGTTTAAAAAGTTTCTTTCTGTTAGACTAAAATAGTCGGTCAGATAAAAAGTTGTACGTGCAAAAATTTGCTTGCTAAAATCTGATAACGATGTATAGAAGGCACTACAATATGATTATAGGGATCTTGACGGATAAAATATTTACTTTGAAAAGGTTCCCATAAATGTTGTTGATAGATCATTTTCTATAAAACCTTGTCGGGAAGTGGGAACTCTTAAAGTCCACTTGTCAAATGTTTCAGTGTTTCACATATAGTCTTTGACGTGCAGTGGAACAAAAAAAGCAGGCCTTTGCATGCAAAGGCATTGGAGAGAGTTCTCAGGTGGTTGCTGGGGACGCAGGAAAAATATATTCACATACAAACCAAGGCAGGTGTTACAGTTTTCAGCTTTTCAGTGTCTGGCTCAACTTTGATAGCCCTTATGTTTTGTTCACCGTGTGCCCTCTATCATTACTTTAGACAGATTCACAAATGCTGAAGAGTGGAATATTACTGCTCTCATCTTGTTGGAAACATTATGGCATGTTGTTGCACTTGGAAGAGCACAAATTCGCACAGAAATATACAGAATTATTGGAGCAGTACTTATCTGGGATTCAGGTTTGCTATACTATTACCACATCAAGTCCGTTCACATTCTGTTCCTTCCTCTTGCATTTGGTTTCTTCGGAATGGGAAACATTAGTATATTTCAGTGGATTGACACTTCATTGTTTTTGTTTTAAATCACTTTCTTTATTTTTCCTGGGATGGATTTTAAGTAATTCTAGTGGTACCAATTAAAAAAAAGTAATTCTAGTGATTGAAATTATGGGCTATTCACTTGGTTGAGTGGATGTATCTGGAAGACTTGGATTGTTGAGATTTAATTTACAGATATCCTGTCTTGAATTAGTTTCCTGCTGGATAAAAAGCTTCCTGTTTGTAAAATATTGTGCTAAGAATACAATTTCAATCTGCATTATCAGAAATATTTTGGACATTTAGGACTTCATTATTTGGTTAAAACCCAACAAACTGGCAAACCGACTCAGTAAGTACTTCTGTTGTTTCGTTGGTTCAGGTATCTAAAAGTACCTGAATTTATATTTATTTATTCACTTATGGCTTCTCCAAACTCTCAATTGATTCAACCAAAACAAGAGACTTGTAAAACATTTTAGCAGAATTGGTCCAAGACTCCAAGTAGTGAAGTAGGTCTTTGGTCATTAGTAGTTAAACACATTTATTGACCAGGTTTTAACGTGGTCACACCACTGCAGAGTCATTTGTTTACTCTTTCTAGTAACTTATTTTCATCCTTCTCAAACTTCTATTATAACTCATAAATGTATGCCCTAATCTACTCTCATTCTCTGAGAAAGATAAAACTGTATTTCAAAGCCCATATAATTAAGAGTTTCAGTTTGGAAGTGGAATGAGTTCAAATGGTTTGTGTTGAGAGAACTTGAAATTTCAGTTTACCTACTGAATTGCCAGTTGGTAACTGAATTAACTGTTTGAATACCCATAGGTAAGTTCTCTTGGAACTTATTTAACAGGTGCATGTTTTTCTCTGATGATCATATTCGACAAAAGGACTCTCGGTCTAACAAAAAGAAGATAAACTTGACATAAGAATTAGTTTCAATTGTCCTGACTCTTGATTTCGTTGCTCTTTCTGTATATATCAGAGTATGTGAACACTATTATGCGTATGTACTTCTCTATTTAGTCCAGATTTAAAGAAGAAAACTTGCAGTTTTATGCAGATAACTATGCTGAAGAGTCTCCAAAAAACAAAGAAAGTGGAAGAGAGACCATTAAGTTTTTCTTGAATTGCCTTGCCCTTCTATTAGGCCGTCTACATGGAATGCAGTTTAAATCTACCATTGAGGAACATGGATCTCAGCTATCTCAAGCTATCATATCCCAGGTAGAATTACATGACTACTGAAGAAGTTTGCTGCATTTTGGATATTATAAGATTAGGATCTCTCTAGAAGAGTCTTGAGTAATTGCTTTGGTAAAGTAACTTTCTTCAATAAGATGATGATTTATACAGTCTAGATTGATGCACCAAGTTTGCTTGACTAAGCACCAGAGAGCTAGCATATTTCTTGTCTTTAGTACTTGAATTAAAACATTCTTGGTGGTTTGATTACTGCGAGTATTTTTTACTCTTTTGGTTGAGTTGCTACGGCTTTTTGCCAATGATTAATGTTTTTTACATTTGTTCTTTTTGGTATATTTGAAGCTCAATTGTGCAGATGATGAAGTAATTGACAGTGCCCTCTGCATCTTCAAAGCTGTCATCTTTAGGACGAACAGTAGTTTGTCTAAATGTGCTGCAGACATTAGTCAGATTAATGCTTTACTGCCAATGTTACTACACCTCTTGGATGAGCGAGACACTGCAGCGAAAGCTGTTATCAAGCTTTTTGCTGAATATTGCTCCATGTACGATTGAATTACTGCAATATACACTGGTTTTAATCTTTTCAAATGCATGTTTGGGATTAAATATAAATGGCAATCATTATTTTTGCCAGATCCTCCGATACACAGTGCTTGGAAGAAATTCTAAAGCGCCTTATTTCCGGGAATGTTTCACAGAAAAGAAATGCTGTTGACTTCATTTCAGATCTTATCCATGTATCTATGGAGTCAGATACCGTGCTTCCTCCTACTATGTGGTATGCTGTTGCTTTCTATTATTGGCTTTTAGTTATTAACTCTGCTTCACCTTTTAGCACTATATACAATGTTGAAGGAATATAATTGCAGCAGTTTGTTTGAGAAAGAAATATAATTACAATAAAGGCGCCTGAGAATCCTGTCTGAACTGCTAGTCAAAGTATTGGCACAACAAAAGGAGATCCAACAATCAGTCAACTAGGGAGGTGAATTTTAGAAGTATCCGTAGAGAGATTTCTCAACCTGTTGAGAGCATGCTAAAGTACTTAGATTGAGTCATGATACATGACCAATTTTTTATAACCGTGGTGTCCGGGCCAGCTTACACGCACCTCGACTAATTTCATGGGACACCTGCTATCTCCGACTAGCAATAGGTACCAAATAACTCTGTTTACTTGGACAGATGGGAAGAAATCACTATTATTTTTGCGTTCGCTGGGATTTGAACCCGAGACCTCATGTGTCTCAACTCACTTCATTGAACACTAGGTGATGGGAAGAAATCACGTAGTGTTTTTACTATACAAGATCATTATATTTAGAATTTTTGTGTAAAAGAGTTATATATTGAAGTGACATACAATGCCCAACTTTCTTACCTTATTAGAAAGTTCATAGAACTTGAGCATTTAACGAACACTTCAAGTCAATTTGGGTGGAGTAACTCAGCACCATTATAGTCTCCTTTTGAGGTGTTTATCCTGATGTGGGATAATATGTGGCTAACACATTTCTGCATGTGCATTGCCTGATTCTAGGTTCATCCATGGACCTTATGCAGACTTACGAGTTAAGACTGTACTTACAAAATGTTGGCGCTAATTCCATGTGAAGAATCTAAGCATTCAACTAAAAAGAAAAATCTTAGGCAATGATGTAGTAGCACAGGACTATTTTAAACCCCATTGGATAACACTTTCATATTTCCGATATGGTACGATATGTAACTCAAAGGAAGTTATATGTACTAAAGTTATCATCATTCTGATCTTTTGATCTGTTAAGTTATCATCATCCTGATTTTTCTTTTGAAAGAAAATAACTGATTTCAGAAATTTACACTGATTGAATAATATATGAATAGGATATCAGCAGAACACCCAATAAAGAACAGTAGGTGCACTGCTAAATCATTGTACATTCAACTATTCTTAATTCCAAAATTACTCTCCCTTTTGTAAACTCCTTATTAGAATCTCTTATGGTTTTCCGTCAAATTTAGTTAACAGAACAATTAAAGGTTGTTTTGTGAAATTTTCAGTCTAAAAAAAAAGGCTGTTTTGTGAAATTTGCACTTTGCAGGCAGCATTTGTCATGCCACCTATTGGAGTTTCTCCAAGACGAACAAATGGTAATTAATACACAGGCTTCCAAATTGATTCCTTTAATAGGTAAGCCTCCACCTTTTGACTTTTAGCTCAGTTATCTTTGTGGTGCAATGGTATATTGCAAGAAGATGCTTTACTGTGGCTTAAGTTTTTATATAACTTGAATGATTGTTCTGCCCACCTTTCAGTTTTGGTTAGTTGAAACATAGGAAAAATGATGATGCACAACTTTTGAGGGGAAATTCTTCTTTCATTTGAACCTCCTACTTCTGTAGAGATGAGCTTTTGTTGAATCTTTTTACGAACAAAGTGACAATCTATTTCAATGTGCTTAGTCATTTCGTGAAATACAGGATTAGAGGAGATATGAAGAGCAGCTTGATTATCACACCACAACTTTGCTGGCAATGTAGTTTGGAAGCCAACTTCACTTAATAGTTGATGTACCCATACAACCTCACACACAGATTGTGCCATAGCTCTGTATTCTGCTTCCGCACTAGATCGAGATACGACATTTTGTTTCTTACTCTTCCACGAAATCAAGTTTCCACCAACAAAAACGCAATATCCTGTCGTGGATCTCCTATCGGCTTTTGACCCTGCCCAATCTGCATCTGTGAAACACTCAATGTTAGTGTGTTCATTATTCTTATATACTAGACCCCGTCCTGGAGATCCCTTTAGATAACAAAGAATCTGCTCCAGAGCCGCCCAATGCCTGACTGTTGGGGAAGACATAAACTGACTCACAATGCTGACAGAGTATGCGATATCGGGACGAGTTACTGTAAGATAGTTCAGTTTCCCAACCAATCTCCTATATTTCTCTGGATCTTCGAATAACTCACCGTCTTCTTTCACGAGTTGTGTGTTAGGAACCATTGGCATGCTGCATGGTTTAGATCCCAACTTTCCAGTTTCAGCTAACAAGTCAAGAGTATATTTCCTTTGGGACAAGAAGATGCCTTTCTTGCTCCGTGTAACTTCAACTCCCAAAAAATACTTTAGTTGCCCTAAATCTTTCGTCTGAAATTGAGTGTGAAGGAAAGACTTTAGAGTTGAAATTCCTGTAATATCACTTCCAGTAATAACGATGTCATCAACATATACTACCAATAAAAGAATACCATCATCAGACTTTTTATAAAACACCGTATGATCGCAATTGCTTTTCTTCATCCCATATTCTAGAACAGCCTCACTAAATCTGCCAAACCAAGCACGGGGACTCTGTTTCAGCCCATAAAGAGATTTTCGAAGACGACATACCTTTCCACACTCCCCCTGAGCAACAAACCCAGGTGGTTGCTCCATATATACTTCTTCCTGAAGATCTCCATGTAGAAAAGCATTCTTTATATCAAGCTGATGCAGAGGCCAATCATAAGTAGCTGCCATGGAAATGAATAATCGAACAGAAGCTAACTTGGCGACCGGGGAAAAAGTATCCAAATAGTCGACTCCATAGGTCTGTGCATACCCTTTTGCAACAAGGCGTGCCTTAAGGCGAGCTACTGTCCCATCGGAGTTAAACTTAACAGCAAATACCCACTTGCACCCAATAGCCTTTTTGTTAGTGGGCAGATCGGCCAACTCCCAAGTACCATTCTCATCTAAAGCCATCATCTCTTCTATCATTGCATCATGCCAACCTGGGTGGGACAATGCTTCACGAACAGTTTTAGGTATCCTAGCAGAATCTAATGATGCAATAAACGAGCTAGAAGAAGTAGACAAATGGTCATAAGACACAAAAGAAGAAATAGGATAAGTACATTGTCGTGTACCTTTGCGAATGGCAATAGGAAGATCCAAACTAGGATCTGAAACACAGGAGGTTGGATCTACCGACGAAGCAGAAGTAGGTAAAGGATCGGGTTCTGAGGTTTGTTGTCGCCTGGTATACACACGAAGAACAGGTGGCTGCTCGGATGGTCGATCGAGGGAAACGGGTGACTGAGGAAGAGGTGTTGGAGAACTAACTGGATGTGTGACAGTGTAGACCAAAGTATCATCTTCTTCCTCAGGACTGTTTTAATCATATGAAGAAAAGAACGGATAATTTTCATGGAATGTGACATCGGCAGACACTAAGTACCTTTTGAGATCTGGAGAATAACACCGATAACCTTTCTAAAGACGTGAGTACCCTAAGAACACACTTAAGGGCCTTTGGATCTAATTTAGTTACCTGTGGACGAACATCACGAACAAAACAAGTACAACCAAATATTTTGGGTTCAATAGGAAATAATGGCTTAGAGGAAAAAAGAATGTTGTAAGGAATATTACCATGAAGTACAGAAGATGACATACGATTTATTAAAAAACAAGCTGTAGAGACGGCATCAGCCCAAAAACATTTTGGCACTTTCATTTGAAAGAGGAGTGCTCGGCCTACTTCAAGAAGATGTCTATTTTTTCGTTCCGCAACCCCATTTTGAGAAGGGGTGTCAACACAAGAAGATTGATGTAGAATACCATTTGTAGCCATATAATCTTTAAACAAATCCGAAAAATATTCTTTTGCATTGT